TTTTTTTTTTGTGTGTGTGTATGTGTGTGTAGATTCATTCCATTTTTACATCAGTGAACATTCGCGCTACGGTCTTCTCCCAAATAAAACATACGGTCATTGTATAGTCGTATTTGAAGGAACTTTAAGTCTACAAACAACGATAATTACCCTGCTGTGTCCATTCCATTCGAGGGGAAACGGTCGTTCCACGTGATCTTTCTTGATTGATTTTGTGAGAGTCACTGAGAGAGAGAGAGGGAGAGTTTTGCATCGACAATACCTTCTCTCTATCTCTCTGTGTCCATGGCTGCAAAACTCTCTCTCTTCCTCTCTCTCATTGAGAGAGAGAGAGAGACAGAGAGAGAGAGAGAAACTATTACACAGGAACATGTGGAGTGAGGTTTCCAGGGATGTATGTCTAAGCACCTGGCCAAGCATATGTGCAGGTGACAAAGAAAGAGAGAGAGATAGAGAGAAAGAGAGAGATTTCGACCGACAGTGTGTGTATGTGTGTATGTATGTGTGTGTATAATTGTGTATGTCAATCTTGCGGGGATTTTTTTTTTGTTTTGTTTTTTTTCCCCAAAAGTGCAGATCACACGAGAAAAGGGGGTAATCGTGTCATGTATGGACATGTATTAAATTTTATTATTAACATGATAATAATGATAATTACATTTTCCCACCAATTCATGGATGTCCCTATTTGTCCTTGAAGATTTTACTATCATTCTCCAAACGCAGAAGATCTAAACCCAAGTGGGGACCAACAGGATCTACCTCGACAATATGGATGCATGGACGGACGTCCAACCCATCTCCATATGGCCTCGATGACACCACCCAAAAAAAAAGGAGCACGGCCTGCCTGCTGAGCTGTCTCATGTTCCTATTGCTTGCCTTTTTTCTTTCTTTCATTCGAACAAAACATAGAGTAGTTTTCGAGAGCAGATGAATGACACTATGCGATGGCCCAAAGCTTCAGGCCTGCCCAAGCATATACCGCAACGACGCTCGCAATAGATGAGGTCGACTTTCTTAAGAGCATGCTGCAATGATGGTACCTCAACTCTTCTTTAAAAGTTCCCCGCAAATGACTACCAACTCCCTAGGAATTTTTTTTTTTTGCGTTTTTTTTTTTTTGGTTGATAACAAGTGAAATGCATTATTTATCCACACAAACGCGAATGGCATTGAAATGTTGAAATGTGTGTGTCTTTCTGTATGTGTGTGTGTGTCTGTGTGTGTCAATCTTACGACGAGTTTTTTTTTTTCTTTTCCCAAAGGTACAAATCACATGAGAAAACGGGTAATCATGTCATGTATGGACACGTAAATAGTTCGGTGGAAACAAATGAAATGCATTATTTGTGCAGACAAATGGAATG